GTTATACCACTGGGCACTGATAATTTATTTGCAGGATATACATATAATTGATATTAATTACAACTGTAAATATAAATATCAATATTATGCAATTACTTTTACCATCTTTAAAATATAGAGTTGGAACTGCATTTCTTGTAAACTGGTGGCTTGGCGATTTATAATAATTCTCAAAATGTTTATTGTGACATCTTAGTTGATTTAAAATGTACAATTTTCCTTTTTATTTGGTCTTATTGTTTAACATCTCTTGCTTTTCAGACAACAAATATTTCCATTTTCCAATCAGGCTTAGGAAAATGATGTAATGGACCTAAAATTAAACCATTCAAATTAAAACTCTACTATTGAAGTTTTTAATACATAAAAAAAAATCCTTGACATTCAATGTGATAAAAACACAAATTATAAGGCTAGTCACTTATATCTGTACATTAAGCTAGGATGTTGTAATTTTTATTGTAGGTTCCTACTAATATATTGTAGAATTATTGATTAAATTACATTGAAAAAGAAATTTCATACCACAAACTATTTTACATAGGGTATTAAGTATGTCTGGAAAGTTCAGTTAGCAAAGAATACTTCATAGTATTTATTTTATATATTACTAGCTGCTGCCCGCGACTACGTCTGCGTAGAGGGGTGAAAATTGAGGATTGTATGTATTTTTGTATGTTGTATCATAAAAAAATAGAAATTAAAAATTTTGTATAAAAAAAAATTTTGAGGTGGACTACCCCTAACATTTAGGGGGATGAAAAATAGATGTTGGCCGATTCTCATAGATACCGGATAAGCACAAAAAATTTCATCAAAATCGGTCAAGCCGTTTCGGAGGAGTATGGCAACGAAAACTGTGACACGAGAATTTTATATATTAGATGTATATGTATATATTTTGTTCCTCTGTAAGGAAAGAGGAATATGGAAATGAGCATATTATAAATTTGCTCTAAGTCTTATAATTTAAGCTGAGTAATATTTCCATATTATTAATAATTTCCTATTTGCTAACAGATAAACTATCCCCATGAAGAAGTACAATAGTACTATTCTCATTTAATATTAATATTTGGTAAATGTAAATAACTTTAACTCCGGCGTAATTCAAATCAAATAAATTTTAAACGATAGAGAAAACTCACTTATGAATTTATCAACAAGCAGAATTTGGCGGTCGCTTATAGTTTTCGAAAAAATAAATAATGAAATAGTGTGATTTTTACTATAGAAATCCGCCATTTTTTGTTGTCAATATGTCAATTCAGCTCGTATTTCTTGGTGGTCATAAAAAAAAAACCTAACATCGAAGGTTAACCTTCGATGTTAGGTTAGGTTAGGTTAACCGAACCTAAGGTGAACCTTCTAACCTAATCTATCCGAGTCGGATTCGCTCTGTGTCGGTTCTGTGACTCATTAAATTTAAAAAATCGGAATATCGATACGTGTATGATGGCGCCCGCTTCCTATATTTATCATGTTGGCAGAACTGTGTAAAGAACTTTTGAAGTCAAACGAATAAAATGGTGGATTTCTTAGTACAAAAAACAAGTTTTAAATATTTTTTTTTTCTCGAAAACTATAAGCGACCGCCGAATTCTGCTTGTTGATTAATTCATTAGAGATTTATCTCTATCGTTTAAAATTTATTTGATTTGAATTACGCCGGAGTTAAAGTTATTTACCTTTACCTAATAATTTAATTATATTGTTATGGAAACTGGCGCCTGGTGAACATATATTATATACATGTTTGGATAATTGTATACATTGTTTACATGTTTGGATAATAAAGAACCAAAACCTTGCCTTATATTATCTGATACAATTATTACTTTGTTGTTGGACATTGGACAATATGACAACTGACAAATGTAATTTATTTTCAGATCTATAATTAGATGGCTGATTGTGTTTGTTATGTATGACCGAGTCACTGCTCTTGTCTGCAGATATATTCTGAATTTTTAATTTGTTCAGCAACAAGTAATAATGTTTCACTAGTACTGACACTATAAGATCTTCAGGAGATATACTCTTTAATGCGCAATTGCAGACTTAATATATTGTACCATAAGCATTTTGCTGTTGCGTTTAATAGTAAAATAATATTTTTATTCGTTGTACATTAAAAACTTCAGACAATCCTGTAACCATATTAGGTTGGAAATGGTAATAAAACAAACTGTATTCTATTGTTAATATTACTTACCTCCATCTTCACACCCGAAATAAAAGTTCGAGTATGGGTTTTTCTGTATCTTCTCCATCAGTACAGCATCAAAACGTAGTCTTAAAATAAAACGTAATTAGTCATGTCTACTAAACGAAGCCCGGGTTTATCGTTATGAATCAGTGTCCGTAGGAAATAGAAAGTTCACAGTAAAAGTAGTATTATCAAGATCTAGAAAACACGCCAAATCATTAGGAAAAAAGGGAAATGTAAATATCAAAGTCAAGACAGAAAATGCACGCACCAGTAAAATAATACGCAATAAAAGTAAAAAATTGAAAAACTTCGACGGCGACGGTTGACAACAGTGTTACAGTGTTGCAGTTATTAAATCTTGGAACAGTAAATTATTATATAATTTTGTAAACGAGTGCTTATAAAATTATATAATCGTTTAACCGTAATTGTTCGTAAGTAAATATACTTGTATTTTTGAAAGTATTTATACAGTGTATTTATCATTAATTTTATTAAAAAATGGTGAAACATGACACTAAGATCAAGTAGCGACATCTAGTTAGGATTTGCGGTTCTATGCGACTAAGTTAAAACGCCCTGAACAATAGATAGCTCCACTTTCCATACAAAATATTTTTACCAGCTCAAAGTATGGCACTGTCACCCCCCTGGTTAAATGTTACAAGCGCAAGTCACGAGAACAGTTGAGCCGATTCCGCTAATCGCTAATTCTTTTTTTATAATATTCCTTAAAGTACGAGGATGGTGGAAAAATTTAAAAAATTGCCTGAAATCTAGTAACAACATTTTTCTATATTCCCATGCAAAAGATTCGTAATAATACTTATATTAAGTCAATTTGAACTTTAATACTATACGAGTGACGTTAGTATCGTAGAAATATTAGTCAATTTTTTAATTTTATAATAATTTTTTACTAGATAGTGATTCAAGATGAAGGTTTATATGTATAATACATTGTACCTACCCGTGCGATGCCGGGGCGGGTCGCTAGTATAGTAACAGTTACAGTATATATGTCTTATCTATGTATAGTAATATATCATATAGTTTAATCGTCATTTATGTTATGAACTACATGCCACGGTAGAGATTGAATTGAACACATTGAGTAAAATAAATTTATCGTTTAACTAAAATAATACATTTGTAACGATGGCTACTAGGTATATATCAAATCAGTCTACAGGAAATAGCAAAACCGGATAACAATTAACAACAAATTCTATATACGTACTGCATGTCAGTAATTCAAAAAAATAGATTGTATTTACCAGTTTCAAACAGTATATTTATATTTTTTTTAAACATTACATCCAATTTAATTAAACAATGAAATATAAAGTCATACCTTTAATCTAAGCAGGGCTACAATATAAAACCAATTTGTTTAACAAATTTTTATTCAATATCCTTTACTGATCCTCTTTCATTGTTTTTAAAGTAGAAGACATTGTCATTTTTTTTACATACAACTATGAAATATTTGATTTTTTAAAACAATGATCCATTATTCTTAATTTCTTAGTTACTCGTAAATAAATAATCAATCTATAAATAGATTTTTAGCTAAATTTTGACTTTAAATAATTACAATTTCATCTAATTCAAAAGTATTTAACAAAATATTCTTTCTTTTAGTTTAAAATTCTATAAAATATAATATAAACATTGAAAAATCGAACTGGCACACCTTCTAATGTACAGAAATAATTTTAGAAAAAAATGTTTAATAAAAAAATGGAAAAATTAGAATAGTATATTTTCCAAACATCACAAATATAACACAAATTATTGTAGTCATCCGAAATTATATACTTATATTTACTTTAGTAATTTCGTAAAATAACGTAAGTCAGCACAGCAATACCATTTGATGTAAATACTAACTGTGCAGTTCGCACACAAATGTTTTCTTTTGGCAAGAAACAAATCTCTATTTGAAAATCTTAATTTGTGCATAATAAACTTTTCAGGACTTCAAAATATAAATCATCCATTAGCTATGTTGCTAAGTATAAGTAACATAAGACTCATTCATATAAATAACAACAAAAATAATGTCTTTTTTTATAAGTTTCAACATCTACTATTTCCATCATTTAATATGTCATATATTAAATGATGGAAATATTGTTATTAATAATAATGAAAATATGTTTATTGATGATGGCAAAATTGATACTTTCACATGTTGAACTTTAATTATTAAAAATGAGGCCTTAAACAATAATTTATCACACATTTATAAAAAATAGAAAAATAAAATATACCAAGTACTATGATATAAATACTTTATATAGGACACATTTAAGAAATATAAATATTATGATTGTCTGAAATGGACTAGATGAAAATAAGCTGGAGCAAAATAAGCAGCATGATGTTAAATTTTTTAACTCAATCAATGATCCTCCTTAACCAATTAATAATATAAAATTAAGTACACACTAAATATATGGATGAAAAAAGATTCCTAATTTGTCTTTTGGATACCAACATGGGAATTTCCTAACAAAATGGAAGTTTTAAGGTGTAATACAAAGCAAAAACTTGCAAAATGTTACTCATTTGGGAAGTTTTTCTTTGAGTTTAATGAATTATAGTGAATTTTATTGGTATTTTGAATTGCTCCTTAATAGCAAAATACCCATGGCAATAATTGGCTAAGGAGTATTTTTTGAACAGTTGGGTAACACTGTCCCGGTGTGTCAGATCCGACCCTCAGGGTGCGGTGTATTGGAGGTGGGGAGGGGGAGGGGTTCGCAACTGAACGGGTGCGCTACGAGGGGTCGTCGTAGTGGTCATCGGGGGTGGCGAGGTTGGGCTCCGACTCGGCGCGCCTCTTCAGCCCCTCAGCGTCTGGGGGCTGCGCCCGTTCAGGGTCGACCGGCTCGCCGCTGCACGCCGCCGCCTTTATGTTCGGCGCGCTCCTGCTGACATCCTGCCGCAACGTAACCATTGATGTTTAATAACATACATGACGCACGCCCATGCTGTGCGTGTTTGTGCGTTTAAAAATTGTTCCGCTTTACATTATACGACATATTGATGTGAATATGACACATATATGGAACGTATGATACGGAAAGAGATAGCAGTCTATAGAATTGCAATCTAATTACGACAATTGGTGGAATTTGAGTGCCTTGCTAAGTTTCGGTGCGCCAGTGTCATCTCATGATTGTACTAATCACGTGTAATATCGTTGAATGTAACACATTAAAAGTAAACGTTTGACGATCGCTGCGGCTCTACCGCAACAAGCGGCCTCAATAATTCTTCCTCAAGTTATACTTTTGGCGCGTTTGGAAAAAATTATGAGTGAGGTTTTATGATGCGCGGCACCTAAAAGCGGCCCCAACTACATTACATGGCAAACAATAACTTTTTGAAATATACCTATATAATTCCAAATTATTTAATTAATCTGTTTTCAACTGTGATTAATATCTTTTATCGCAAACAAAGACATTTTTATATGCGAAAAGTTGGCAAGTACCGCCGCCGAGGAACATCTACAAGACCTGAGGGGTTTTGGGTGCGTTGCTAACTTTTAAAAAAACGGACCCCGGTTACCTCACTCGCCAGACAAAACGCGAAGTATTAAACTTCCGCTTAACGCTGGTCTTCTGTGGAGTCTTAGTACTTCCACTTAGGAACCCGCCCATTAGTGCAACAGCCGAAGCTATTGCTAGACCTTACCACAGTAAAAAGACCGGCACACGGCGTCAGAAACAAACGTCTAGCTGCTGAAAGATTTTGGTGAGTTTCTTTTTACAATATTTACAGGAACATTTTCTATTTACAGGAATTTATGATGCTTTCTTTTGAAAAGGGGAGCGCCAGTTATAATCTTACATTCTTTTTTTTTCTTTTTTAAAACATCTTACGTATCTTACGTTACATTAAATCTTACGTAAGATAAGGATATCTTATCTTACGTAAGATTTAATTTTTGGGAGGATCCCAACGTTTCAAATGCTTTACTTACAGCATTCGTGGTTACGGACCGGCTTCTGGAGTTTAATATATGATAATCCGAGATCAGATACATAAAAACATTTCAATACAATAAAACATTTTTAAACATAAATAATTACAATAAAACTGCGGACGGGGATAATATATCAGTGGCTGTGTCTAAAATCATTTAAAGTTTGCTCGCGTATTATTTGAACGCACCATAAAAATCTACAGTATCGTACACACCTTAGTTTCATTTGTTACAATCACATCACAATCAATATTTTCATAAATATTTATTTCTACACATTGCAGGATAATAGGGAGAAAAAAATCGAATGTTACCAATTCAGTATCCAGAAAGTCCCCGGATTCCTGTTTAACTTGTGCGTTCATTTTATCGTTTAGATAACACACACCATTTAGATCTATGGCGCTGTTCGAGAATATCGCAGCGGCTCCTACTGACGCGTCAACCAATGGTTCACTCTGTAAAATGTAACAAAAATAATTACCGTTACCAGTTCTGACAGTGTGTGTCCAGTTATGACACTTTTAACACCATCGTATGGATTGCATAACATTTACCAAATACCAAACAACCAATCGCTATATTTTGATCCTATATCCAGAATACAGCTCATCAGGGATAAATGGACTCTTATTGTGTACTATGATATGGAACCTTATTGGGCAGGCATAGATACATACCATAAGATTACAAATTATATTGAAAACATGTGTGTCTCCATTGAAAAACAGTCTCATTGTAACATGATAGTAACTCAGCTACGTCACGAAGACCAGGAGCTAAAATACTATAATGAACGTTTACTGACACAGCATTATAACGCTCACGCCAGACGTCGCCGGCGCCGCGGTCTTATTAACGGTGTCGGGTATCTAGCAAACGACCTTTTCGGTGTATTAGACGCTCGCTTCGCAGAACAGTATGCTAAAGATTTGAATGCATCTTTCACGATTCTTGGCGAACAAATAAAAACCATGAAGTCCGTCAATGCCGTAGTAGAGGACATATCACCACATGATGTTCACCACTACGTTATAAGCTACCTCTTAGTCGCGGCTGCCTTATGTGCTGCAGCTGTGTGGGTGTGGAAGAGCGGGCGATGCCGCATGTGTTCGAGACCTGTTCGCCGTAGTGAGGACCACCACCGACAAGCGTTGGGGGGACCAACGCCGCCCGCACCTCCGAGCGCTACCAGGGGCGCACCAGTGTATAGTGTACCAACGCGAAAGCAGAGTATGCCTGACCCGCGTCAGTCAAGTGCTAGTGAAGTGTGTGATACAAACAATATTAGTGTTCGTATGCAAAATTTGGCCATGCGATGGCCCAGTGCTAGGTGCAGTGCAAACAATCTTAAATACATAAATAAGGCTACATCGCCTATTACCAGAGACAATCCTACTTTTACCATAGAGGACACTATAGTTTAATTATACGTTTTTAAGAGAATTTGTTTGTTGTATTTTTTAAGTTTGTGCTTTTTATTATTTTTATTGATTTAGTGCTTAAGGTTAATGACCATTGTGTTTTGAAACCTTTGCTTTATAAGAATTTTACTGTTTTGTAAGTTCTTCTCACTTCACATTTTCATCTCGTAGTCGAGAGAATGTTCGGAGTTACGCAACCGAACAGCAACATTGTCACTTTGTGCATCATAGGCACATTACACTAACGTACATATGTACGTTTCATGCCTAATTTGAGGCAGTACGCGGCTCGCCACCGTCTAACCATAACCATACCATTTATTTATACCGCGTATTCTTTATACCGGTTTATACCACTCACCATTTATACCATAATAAACCATTTACCAGAATATTTATAAACTCTCTCCCTGTACAACCTTCTTCACCAGTATATTTTTAATATCATACTACTTTCCTATGCAATACTTTCATAGCTGATCAGCAGTTAAAAAGTTAACAGAAAGCGATGACGAATTAGTAGAAATGTTTTTATGGGTTCTAATGTCAATTATCATTTTATATTTTCAAATTTTGATCACTTCACTTGAGCTTCGAACTCCAAAAAAAGGTAAACACGGATGTACTGTAGATGGATGTGTAGACGTTTTGTTCAACAAAAATAACATCAATAGCTTTTGGAGTATAATGATAGCTGGGTCATAATTCTACGATTTTCGTAAAAAATAACAACATGTAAAAGGTATTTTTGTTTCATTCTCTTAGTGCTAATCTCTGCACTTAACACGACTTTGCTGTAAACAATAAATGAAACAAGTATTGCTTAAAATTAAAAAAAAACAATATAGATAAAGTACGTTGAGGTTTTTTAATGGTTAAAGCGTCTGGGCGCGAACCCGGAAGACGTGGATTCGATTCCCGCAACGGCAAAAAACTATACATCCACTTTTTCTACAATTCAATGTAATAGTTAGTTGAAAGCATGCGCAGCATTAGCATCTTTTATTGTTTTCTTCTAATACAAAATGGGTATTCACAACACTCTAAAGCCCTTTGTCCAATCACCATGAAAATGGGGCATATGTATATATTTAAGGTTTCTATGTTATCCCGTGCACTATATAATATGAAATCAATTCGAAACCGCTAAGCCGATTCAAAAATAAGTATTTGAGAAAGTAAATTGAGAATTTTCGCGCTATCCAACTAAACGTTACTTTCCAGTCAGGTGCAACATGATTACAACTTCCTGTACATTAAAAATGGCACGACGTCTGCCGCGTCTAGTTTGTAAATGAAACCACGAATTCTATTTTATCTGATACAACAATAAATATTTATGTTAAAATTAACACTTTTTAGTGAATTTCGCTTTGTAAAATTATGCCTATTACCAATTTATATGACGTTACAAATTGGCGGCTTCCATATTTTATAAAATAACGCAAAATCTATATTTTTAAAGTGTAAATTTGTTACGGGGACTTTTTACAGAAGAAGTCTGAAAGAAAAAAAAACTGTAAAAAAAAATCGATTTGAAACTATAATAAATATACATACAAGAGCCACATCCTCTGGTATGTGGAACTTCAATTGAACATGTTTCTTCTCTGGTGCTACTTCCATTTCAGGTGACTTATGGGAACTAGAGCTGTCCTTTGTGGCATCTTTCGATTCCCTTAAAAAAACACATTAAATCTGTAGGCACTTGTTTCATACCCAAAATGAAACGTTAAATTCTTAATGTCGCATACACAGTTTAATTTTGAAACTTGTCTAGTTGGTAATTAAAAGAAAATAATTTCGGAGTTCAGTGATTGTTTATTGCCATTAGACTTGCATTGAAAGAATAGCTAAACACTGATACGAAAAAATCAGAATCAGAAATATTAGTTTCTTTACATCATAATCTTATTATTCTAAGACATGATTACGATATATCACAGTGATTCTCAACCTTTTTTTTTTTGTTGCGGCACATATTTAACGATTTCAAAATTTGGCGGCACACGAAGAAAAAGATATAAATTATTTACTTACTACAACACACTGCATAAATAGTTTATGACAATTTTTTTAAATATACGAAATAAACTAATATATACTACGAATAATATATACGTGAAGAAATACAAACACAGTGCGTGTGCAGCAAGTCAGCACATAAGCTCGGGATTCCCCGTGAGATGTGTACACAGCGCACGTGTTCAATCACAGTAGCATTTAGTAGAGTGCGATAAAACCAAAAAAAATCTTATTTGGAAAACCGTGTAAAAGCGAAAACGTTTAAAACAAGTACCGTGTAAATCGGGGGATAGGTGTACTGCAAAGTTAATAAGTTTAGTGTGCGCCGACTTGAGACATATTCCTATTGCTATGCACGCCGCTTCATCATAATTTGGCACTAAGAAAAAACGCGTTGCAAAGCAAATAATAAAATTTATTTTTTTGTGGATTTAAATATATATTCATGTTAAAAATATTTTGCTTTTTATATGATATAATTTAAATTAATAATATTAACATTATTATATATTTGCAAAATTTAGCGGCACACTTTTGAAATTTGACGGCACACAAAAGTGCCGCAGCACAATGGTTGAGAATCACTGATATATCATATAGGAATATACAGCGTGTCGTTACCATCGCGACAATAAATGAACACACATATAGGGGATAACTTTTTAAAGTTGTATTAAACATTTCTAAAATTCTTTAAACATCGATATTTACAGAGTTATTAAATTTTCCAAAACAAATAATTTTAGAACATCCTTTCACAAAGCATATGAATGGGTTGAATGAATTTAAAAGAGACAAAACATACTGTTAGAAGGAGAGGCTTGTAATGCGACGCTGTGGCGCGAGTTGTATAGGATGTTACAAATTTTGTTTCTTTTTTACTTAATTAGTTTGTTTGAAAAATATTTTTTTTTAATTATGGATTTTGTTTAACGTTAATATGTTTTTATGATTATTGGCAAGTAGCGTTAGACGTGTGTTCAGTTATTGTCGCGATGGTAACGACACGCTGTATATAAATCAAACATATGGACTTTCCTTTGATAGTTTTTTCTTAATTTTTATAATACGGATGTACCTATGAGCATGTTAATGATTACAATAAAAATACATTTTTAAAAATAAATCACTACTTTAAATTTATCCATTATGTGACTACATCAAAATATCTTGCTTAAGTAATAGGCAATTAGCGGAATAGGGTAAAATTAGGCAAATAGACAAAATACTCATTGTTAACCGAACATTTGTCGCAAGTTAAATTGTTATTCCATAACTTCTAATCAATAAAATTCTCATGTCACGGTGTTTGTAATTGAACTCCTCCGAAACGGTTCGGCAGACTTTCGTGAAATTATGTGTGAATATCCGCCAGGGTGGAGAATCGGCCAACATCTATTTTTCATCCCCCTAAATGTTAAGGGTGATCCACCCCAAACATTTTTTTCTACCCTTGAAATAATTTATATCGCAAAACAACGTTTGCCGGGTCAGTCTAGTATATATATATGTAATATATTTTTAATTTTTTTCTATTAAAAATCGTTATTGTCAAAGAAAAATTACCTTTTCGGTGTTGAGACATAGTTTTCGCTTTTATCCATTTGATGTTGAGTGATAAGGTCACAAGCCTTGCCTAGTATTACAATAGATATTAGCACCCTCACTGTTATTAAACACAGATATGCTAGGAATATTAGAAACATTGCTGCAAACCTAAAAATATACAAAAAGACATGAAATATTTATTTTTAATTAACGCAAACAACATTAATTGTTCTCATACATCATAAACATTTTTCCATGCAGTTTATATATTTAAAACAGTTTTTGACAGATTATGAACAAAATTCAGATTACAATATTTATTAAAAAATATCAGGAAATATTTATAGGTTGAAAAACATCTTCGATGTTCGAAATATAATATTAAATATTAGTATAGCTCATAAATACCCACCCATCGACCTTAACAGCGTGGACCAAGACTCTCGTGATAACAACGCCCAAAGGCAGCGGTATAAAGCCCATTCTCCGAGCCACGAGATCGGAGTGATCGCTGAAGGCATACTTTTGCCGAGTTTGAGCAACATCATATGCCAAGCTTACTGTATACTCCCTGTATACTCCGTAAGGAATTTCATTAAACCTAGTGAAGTATGAAAAGGATGTCAAAACTTTAAATTGTAATTTTTCAGATTCGAATCCCGCAAAGCGGAAAGTTTTTATTCATTTAACATTACAATCTAAAGTTTCATCTTGAGTGCAGACACTAGCAATAAAGTAACAATTAATGATAAAAGGATATCAAACGAAAAATTTACATACGAAAAAAAAGATTGTCCCGGTCGTATGCGGCGCACGAAGGTAGATTTCTTTTTTTTTAATTTGATAAGATGGCACGCGAGCTGAGGGTTAAGTGATAGCGGCCACTCATGGACATTTGCAACATCCCTAGGGTTACAAATGTGTTACCACCTTTTAATATGGTAACACATTGCAGCCGGTGTCCTGTGAGGCCGTGGTTTTTCCCCGGGCGAAAGTACCCATTCATGCAACTATGCATTACTACTATAGTTAGAATTGGGACATAATTTTTGTTTGGTGAAAATTAAATTACCCTAGACTATTTGTCTATTGACCTCTAGGTCGCGCATAATATTATTAAATCACTAAAGTTGGTGCAAATCGGTATGCAATATTCTAGGTTTAATATGGGCTATAGGTTTTGCAACGTTGTGCTCCATTCACGCAGTTCAAATGTCTACGCACAGTTGCAACTTCAACATGAGATTTATTAGGTAGCTATATACAGTCTGTGGAGGAGATCCATATCTAACAGTAAATTAAATCAGGCTGTAATTATGAGGTAGCATTAATATAAATCAATGGACTCAACTATACATGTGCTCAACTAGCAGCGCTATCTTAATAAAGCCACATTAAAGTTCTACATTCTACATGTATAAAAAGATATGAAAGCTGTCATTTCATTATTCTGTGTATGTTGTGTTTGTTTATATTAGTAAAAATACTAACCTAGTTATGAAGGCATGTTTGACCCAGTCAATAATGACTTCAAATGTAAGGACTAACACACAGTCGGGAGCTAATATCCAGAACCGATCCTCCCTCCACAGGTACTCCTTCATGGTTTGTAAAACAACTATGAAGAGCAGAACAGAAAGGTGGAGACGCTCCCGGACATCACTGCAAGATACTTGAAATAAATTGTTCTTGTCAAACTTCTTGAAAACGCTTCCTTTCAGTTCTACAAACTGCAATATTTAAAGAAACAGGAACAATTAGCGTAAAACATACTATAAACATATTTGAATTATTGCGCATTACGAAAGCAGAAAATAAAATCTATAATTATAATAAGCTAATAGACCATTTGATATTAAAACAAAGTAAGAGCAGACATGTGAAGTACTCTCTCCCCACTTTGTCTATGCAAACATCAAGTTATTTATTACTTACTTTAATTATATTTTCTGTGTACAGGCTAATAAAACTAATATAAAAACAATCTAAAGTGATCATAAAGTTATTTACAAATTCATGATTTTTAATTCAGGATATAGCAATAAATCTAACATCTAATATTGATAGGAATTTCATATGTACAGATACAATAAAGTCTATGAAAATAATATAAAAAACAATAAACTTACATTATTAGACATCATAATAATAAGAAGACTTTTATTATTTGAGTTAAAAGCAACATTCAAAGTTGTAGCTTGAAACAACACCAACAAACTGTGAAGAACTGCCAGGCTATGTTAAGGAAAATTAAAAAAAGGGTAAAACTAATGGAATACACAAAATTTACACATTGGCGAATGTAATATAAAATATATAAAGTAGTTTGGAAAGTTCTCAAAATTTTAACCACAACTTACATAAATATATAATCACTTAAGTTTTTTGCTACCCAAGCTGATTTATAGAATTAATTAGATTTCCACAACATAATGAGAAATGAAGTTTCTTTGGTCAGGCTATATGTAGATGAGTTATTATTATTTTTTGATACCAATCAATGAGGATATATATTTTTAAATAAATACTTAAAAAGGATACAGACATAGATCATTGCAAAAATCAAATGTGGAATGACACCTAAATGTTCCCTTCTCCTGTCTCTTGGTTCTGTAGCAGTCCAAAATAAAGCATCAATAGTATCTTGACCAAAGGCTGAGAATAATCGGTCTCCAACTTCCAACATGTTGTAAAAAATGTACAACTTCATAACGCTCTGGCTTTTTACCAGATGGTACATCATGTTAGTATCAATATAACACATTAAAATACTACATACTAATAATATAAAGCCTTTAAGGACATCACATGTCTCAGCTGGTTTTAAAATACTCTTATGTGGATGTATACAGAACCTGTGAATTGTACATAAAAATGTAATTTAAATAGAACAAGAAAAACCCAATGTGTAACTAAAATTTTGATGCTTACCCAAAACATCTTCGAAATAATCTATCGAAAAACGACCAAAATGCCATAATAAACCGTAATGGCAAAAAGGTGTATACAAAAAGCAATGAGTCGGCACATTGAAAAAAGCCATAAGCCATAAATTTTTCCAACTCTTGAGGAATTTTTATGAAAGAGTACACTTTCTCCCTTCTTGCCGAAAATCTTTCCTCATCATGTTCCAATAAATATCCTCGAGTCAATTCGACGTGCAAAAATGCGAACAGTGAAGCAGACTTGTCTGAAAAATCTGTGAACATAATATAAACATAATGTAATTACACTGTTTACAGATGTTTAGTCACGTTACTAGTAAAATTACTTTAAGATACCCTTTTGTCGTGACTCCTTTCCTTGTTTTGAATCTATATTGATATCACCAGAAGTATGCTGAACATTTGTCTTGAAACGTAACCTTTTCGTTTGTTCTTGTATATTTTCATTTTTCACTAACATATTTGAAAAAATGATTCAGACTACAAAATCATGACATTAATACAACGATTCTAATTCAGAATTTAATTTAAATTAATTTATAATAAAGTTTTTGCAAATGCGAACCAATAAAGCAAAATCACAATAAGTCAGAAACTCAGTCAGTTTCGAACTGTCAAAATTCAAATGTCAAAAATTCATATATTTTTTTTAATTTTTGTTTGACACAAAGTCACACAATATAGGCCCAGTTGGAATACTTAAAAAGAACTTTTTTTATATAAACATAACTTGCTAAACGTCGGCTTCGAGTTATGGATTCACTGGCCACTTGAGTGTGACGGCGTCCGCTCATCATAGCTACATCATAGCCATTTCCGCTACGTGCTCATGTACGGAACGGACCTCTCTCTAAGACGGAGGGCTCATGCCACCCGAATTAGATGCTACTCGCAACTTCAGTTGTAATTTAAATCTTTGTGCAAGCAGTGCAGTAGATTAGTGTTAGTGTAGTGTTGTGCTCATAGGCAGCTTCTTGTTCTGTAAGTAGAATTCTATACACACTTCTCGCCTCAGAGGCGGCATTGGTTTATTTTGTAACTGTATGCTTGTTGCGATAGGCGACAGCTAGGTACCCACCCTAGCGCACCTAAAGCGCAGGCGAATTAGTTGTTATTTTCAGACACACACCTCCCTGCCGCAAGGTGGGGAGGCCTATTTAGTTAACTACACGCCGGCGGGGCGCAAGCCCCAAAGGCTCAAGCGCTCGAAATGGGTTCCCTCCTAGAGGAATTCCTTCGCCAACGATGTCCCGAAGTGTGGACAAACTTTCTCGCGTTCGTGAAAGAAAAATGTTTAGTCGCCTCGCCGCCATCTCCGGTGCCCTCTGCGCCCGCTAATGAGTCGCCTTCAGCGACAGTAGTTACGACCGTCGCGTCGACTTCCGCCGCTGCGATCGAACCCAACGCGCCTTCCGCGCAACCAATTTCGGCCCCCTTCCGCGCTGTCATTCCCAACTCACAATCGGACGGCGGCCCGGACATGCAGGTCGAAACTACCCCCGCTAATAACGCGAACGCTGACGGCTTCACCGTCGTAAAGTCGCGTAAGAAGGGGAAAAAACGCCCCGCAACCGATAGCGACCCCGAATGCGAGGCCGCCTCGTCCAACCGTCCCACCGCGACGCCCGCCAAAAAGGCAGCCGCGACTGCCCAAACGGAACCCGAATTTATCGCCGAGCGAAAAATTAAGCCACCGCCTCCTATCATAATTCAAGAAAAGTGGCATCAAGTACGCTCGTGGTTTGAACGCCACAACATCCGCGACCTCCGGTCAAAAAATACTCAAATGGGTATCCGCGTGTACCTAGATACAACGGACGATTTACGTCGCGTAACCAAGTACTTACGCGAAAATAAGGTAGGTTTTCATACCTACTCGTTGCCCGAAGAGCGAAACGGTTAGTAATAAAGGGCGTCCCCAAAGAGTCGGATGTCAATAAGGCTAAGGTCGACATCCGCACTCAGGGATACCCTGAGCACGCTGTTCGACGCCTCAGGTACCCTCTAACCCGTGTCCCTATAGACATGGTCATGGTCGAAATTGACCCTACCCCGGAAGGTAATTCCATCTTCAACCTGAAGAGGGTCTGTGGGCTCAGTGACCTAGTCATCGAACCCCCGCGCAAGTCAAGAGTTGTGGCACAGTCACAACTGTCAACATTATGGCCACACGGCCAACAATTGCTTCGCTCACCCTAGGTGCCTCAAATGCATCGGTGACCACGGCACGCCCGAGTGCACGCGGCCAAAAGACCCACCGGACTGCGTAAACTGCCACGCTACCGGCCATCCGGCTAGTTACAGAGGCTGGGCTAAGGCCCCGAAAACTCCCGCGAGAAAATCTCCCGCGGAAACAAAATTGCCCAAACTCGCGCCCCTGAAATACGTTCCCGCGCCCATACCCGTCGTCAATGCCTGGACGGAACCCCAGGTGGCCACGCAGGTGGCCGGGCAGGTAATCGCGCCCCTGGTCGCCTCACAACCAACGCTAGCCCAATCGCAGCCCGCCATTCAACAGGCGCCGAGGCCGCAGGTGCAGTCAACACCATCGGTATTCTCCGAAAACAAAGACGACCCAGTCGCCCAAATCGCGAACATCTGCGGCTTATTAGACCGCATTAATAGAAAAGAGCTCGGCGTATTGTCCGCTAAAATAGCGGCCGCCATATCTGGCACCGAGCGGTTCCAAGCCATTAGCGAACACAAAATGCTTGTAGAAGCCCTCTGGGCATATACGAGCCAACCATAAAATCTATAGTTCGCGCAATAAAACCGCGCTCCGCCGCGTCGTTAGTTAGAACTCATAAAAAACTTTTATGGAAAGTACAACCGCAGGAGCGGAGATAGCTCAGTATCCGGGCGCTCGCCTTTAGTTCAATATACTCGAGCAACCTGAGTTCGATCCCCGGTGCCGGCACCAATGAAGTTTTTAACTTTAAGTGCTGACTTATCACGTGCTCCGTGGTGAAGGAAAACATCGCAACAAACCTGCATATTTTCGAAATAATAACAAAACAAAATATTTTTTCGAAGATATGTGAAGTCCGCCAATACGCAGTGGTTCCGCGTGGTGGACTATGCCCTCATACCCTCTGTATAGAGGAGGCCTTTGCCCAGCAGTGGGACATGTATAGGTTGTTTCTTTACTTTTACTTTTATACAACCGCAGGTAGAACAAAACCTCGGGCTCTAGTTGTTTCGTATTTCAACTCAAACGGCATTAAGGGTTAAAGGGACGAAATCGCAGAATTCCTTCGCGATTATCTATTTATATGTAGATATTTTTCTAGCGCAAGAGACCTTATTAAAACCTATTGATCGCGATCCCATAATCGCAAACTACAACATAGTCCGCCACGACCGGTTAGCAAACCGTCTGGGAGGCACCTTAACTTATTACAAACGGTCCTTGCACTGTAGCCCGCTCGACATTCCAGAGCCGCTTGTACTAGTCTCAGCCTATCTCACAGGGAACAAAACCTTATTACCAAGCGACCTAGATACGCTACTCAACTTATGCCCTTCCGTGATAATTGCAGGAGATCTAAATTGCAAACACGGCTCTTGGGACATCCACAGCATCTCAAATAACAACGGAAAGCATGTCTTTAGTTTATCAGATAATTTAAACTTTAACATAATCGCTCCTACCACTCCCACTAGGTATCCTACGGTGGACAACTACCAACACGCGACACCGAGTATCCTAGATATCATGTTATTCAAGGAGGTCTCGCTCGAAATTGAGTTGATAGAGACAATCCATGAACTAGATTCAGATCACAGGCCCTTTTTTTTTCGTGAGAAAAATCCTTTATGGATCCCTTACCACTGGATCGGGGGAGTGGCAGGGGTATGTGGGAGTCCCGGTGAGAAACGGGTAACCACTAAAAAACCCACGTTGCACCTGTCTCTATCGCATCGGCCGGGGACACGGGAACACGTGGACGCAATCTTCGGCGACCCCGGCGCGACTATGGCCCTATTTAGGCCTCCTCTATTGGATCGTGCTGTGCCGGTGCAATTGGCACAGCACACGTCTCGAGCCCCATATTGAGCGACAGACACCCTCATGTCTACAGACACCCCCATGTCTTCAGATCACAGGCCCATCCTGTGTAAACTGGGCCAGAACGCCGGCACGGTCCCTCCGACCAAATCCGTAGTGGACTGGCATCGTCTTGAAGTCAAACTCAGGGCCTTGAACCCCCAAGACATAATCAACCTACCCGAGACGATAGCTACGTTCGATGATCTATTACTTCCACAGTTGCAGACTCGGAACGGACGGTGAAACTGTCGGGCGACCGACAATTTAACTTTCCGCCCGACCTGCGACTGCTAACTAGACAGAAAAATGCACCCAAACGCGCTTTCGACCGATACCGATCGGAATCGAACCGTACCTTACTTCGACGCCTTTAGCTAGAAGTCAAAGATCGTGTATCGGTGTACACCGACATACCACGTGGGACACCCTCCTAGAGGACATCCAGCCATCGCACACCGCCTACTGGCGGTTGGCCCGCAGTCTGAAAGCAGACCCCCGCGAATCTCTACTGCCGTTAGTTAGATCTAATAGCGCTTCAGCAGACCGATTCAGTAGATGACTCCGAAAAAGCCGAATGCCTTGCGGACAACCTAGAGCAGCAATGCCGCTTATCTGTTTACTGGCGACCATTTTCAATACTTTACTCTCCAGTTGCTCCTGTCCGGATGACTGAAAAGAAGCCACGGTTATCGTCATTCTCAAGCCGAATAAACCAGCTAACCAGCCCTCTAATTATCGTCCCATCTCTTGAATGGTAGATGTGGCTAATGGGATAACTTTTAAGCCAAAATACACTTAAGGACTGATAAGAAAACTATTTATTTGAACTTAAACATTTTTAACTTATTTTAGAGCAAACGTGAAATTTATATAAAATACAGGAGTTATGTCAGATAGTTATTTCATGTTACTTCTCCAAACGATTTTTACGGAATCAATCAAATATGACACAATTCAGTCTGAACAAATAAAACTAACATTCCAAATTTAATTTAAAGTAATTCAAACATAATACATAAACCAAACAGGTCAGAGTTGACATCAATAGAGTATGTATAATCTGAGATTACCAATCAACACACCCCCTTAATCTCAGATATACATCATAACACCAGACAAGTATAGAAAACCCAAAAAATTTAGAAATTATCAACAAACAAACCATGAAACAACAATAACACACTCGACAAAAACCAAAACTCTTAAAAATAACTAAAATCACAAAAATACAAGATCAAAAATTCTGTAAAAAGTTTCTCTGAAAAATTCCGTTTTGAATTCCGATCCTTTCCCTTACAACAATCTCACACACACGCTTCCACTGCGCGAATCTCAATTATTAACACCCCCTTACACTAGCACTACCTACACTAAAAGGTTTAGAATTAAATACCTAAAAATTTTAATAA